TTTTTTTTTTTTTACTTTTTTCTGACCTCCGGAATGGATTAATTGGTTTTCAGTGCATTCCTATGGGAAACTGCGTTTCGGTTTACGAATTTTTCGCAATACGAAACTTAAAATATACACATTTTTTTTCCTCTACGTGGCCAAGTTTAACTTGTTGCCGACCGCAGATAGCCGAATGACGGCTGCATATGACGTCCCCCCAGAACGCGCTCTCCTGCACGCCCCAGGGGGCGCGCACCCGGCGATCTCCGTGATCGCTGTGTCCTATGGACACAGCTGATCACGTGATGTGGTAAAAGGCCAATCACAGCGCCCTTTTACCACCTGATCAGCGGTGTCCAATGACACGCTGATCACAGGGAAATGCAAGTGCCGGTTCTCGGCTGCACTTTCCTCACGCTGTCATATCGTGAGGAAAGTACTGCCGAGAACTGGCAGTTGTCAGAGCGGGGATCGGCACCGATCATCAGGGCACTGATGATCAGTGCCCTGATGATCGGTGCCCAGCAGTGCCACCCGCAAGTTCCGCCCCACCTGTGCCCAGCAGTGCGCCCACTAGCTCCGCCCACCTGTGCCCAGCAGATCACCCACCTGTGCCCAGCAGTGCACCCACCTGTGCCACTCTGCAATGTCACACACCTGTGCCTAGAAGTGCCACCTACCTGTGCCCAGCAGTGCACCCACCTGTGCCCACCAGTGCCACCCACCTGTGCCCACCAGTGCCACCCACCTGTGCCCACCCACCAGTGCTGCCCACCAGTGCCACCCACCAGTGCAGCCCAGCAGTGCTGCCAGTCAGTGCCACCAGTCAGTGCCCAGCAGTTGTGCCAGTCAGTGCCGCCAGTCAGTGCCCAGCAGTGATGCCAGTCAGTTCCGTCTATCAGTACCCATCATCAGTGCCACCTATCAGTGCTGCATATTAGTGCCGCCTATCCGTGACACCTCATTAGTGCCGCCTATCCGTGACACCTCATTAGTGCTGTCTATCAGTGCCGCCTATCCGTGACACCTCATTAGTACTGCCTATCAGTGCCCTTTAGTGCTGCCTATCAGTGCCCATCAGTGCCGCCTATCAGTGCCCATCAGTGCTGCCTCATCAACGCACATCAGTGAAGAGAAAAAATTACCTGTTTAAAAAATTTTATAATAGAAACAAAGAAACTTTTTTTTTTTTTTTTTTTTTCAAATTTTTGGCAATTTTTTATTTATAGCGCATTTATAAATATCACCAAAAGAAAGCTCTATTTGTGAGAAAAAAATGATCAAAATTTCATATGGGTACAATGTTGCATGACCGCGCAATTGTCAATCAAAGTGCGGCAGCGCTGAAAGCTGAAAATTGGCCTGGTAAATAAGGGGGTATAAGTGCCCCGGTAGGCGAGGGGTTAATACAGATGTACCTCGGTTTATGGACGCCTCGGTTAATGTAATTTTTGGTTTACGTATGAAAATCGATTGAAAATAACGCCTCGGTTCATGAGTTTTTTACAAAAAATTTTTTGCAATACGAAGTGTATGTCAGTGCCTTCACTATCGCTCACAGAATTAGCCGTCACTTTTCCCGGAGCTAAAGGAAACTTTGTTTCTTTTATCGGAGCTAAAAAGGAAACATTGTTTCTTTTATCTCAGGGAATAAAACTAAAAGGAAACATTGTTTTTAAAACTTTAAAAAGGAAACATTTTCTTTTATCTTAGGAAACAAACTAAAAAGGAAACATTGTTTTCTTTTATCTCAGGGAAAAAACTAAAAGGAAACATTGTTTCTTTTATCTATGGGAAACAAACTAAAAAGGAAACATTGTTTCTTTTATCTCAGGGAAACAAACTAAAAGGAAACATTGTTTCTTTAATCTCGGGGAAACAAACTAAAAAGGAAACATTGTTTCTTTTATCTCGGGAAACAAACTAAAAGGAAACATTGTTTCTTTTCTTTTATCTCAGGGAAACAAACTAAAAGGAAACATTGTTTCTTTTATCCCAGGAAACAAACTAAAAGGAAACATTGTTTCTTTTAATCTCAGGGAAACAAACTAAAAGGAAACATTGTTTCTTTTATCCCAGGAAACAAACTAAAAGGAAACATTGAAACATTTTTCTTTTATCCCAGGGAAACAAACTAAAAGGAAACATTGTTTCTTTTATCCCAGGAAACAAACTAAAAGGAAACATTGTTTCTTTTATCCCAGGAAACAAACTAAAAGGAAGTATTGTTTCTTTTTAGCTGGGGGGGGGAAATGACAGTTGATTCTCTGAGCTATAGTGAAGGGGATAAAAATCTGGTAACTACATTTAAAAATCGGCACTGATTTATAGTGACAGAGACTTTTTTTTTACTTTTTTCTGACCTCCGGAATGGATGAATTGGTTTTCATTGCATTCCTATGGAAAACCGCATTTCGGTTTACGAATTTTTCACAATACGAAACGCATTAAATTCATAAACCGAGGTACACCTGTATGTGTCGTGTACAAAAATATCCATTTGTTGGTGGCGTTACGGATCGACTCGTTTTGTGAGCAACTCGCTTTGTCAGGATCCACGCCTTTTGTACATGCAGACCATGTTGTCCCTCAAAAAAACAATTCCCACATAGAGACAAGCCTGAGCAAAAATACACCTGATTCAGCAAAAGAGTTCTTCCCCTGCCACAAAGAGGGGTCTAGTGCCACGAAGAGGGGCCTAGTACCACGAAGAGGGGTCTAGTGTCCAGCACCATGCATAGCCTGCTACATCAACATGTGGTAACACCTCCATGTCGACAGTCCATCCCCATGTATTGCCAGAGTACTAAAAAAATAAAAAGTACCACTGGTCCAGTCCCAGTAAGAAGTCCACGTATCACATTCAGGGGTCAGTATTAGAATAATAAAAAGTACCACTGGTCCAGTCCCAGCAAGAGGTCCACGTATCATGGTCAGGGGTCAGTATTAAAATAATAAAAAAGTACCACTGGTCCAGTCCCAGTAAGAAGTCCACGTATCATGGTCAGGGGTCAGTATTAAAATATCCAGTAAGAAGTCCACGTATCACGGTCAGGGGGTCAGTATTAGAATAATAAAAAGTACCACTGGTCCAGTCCCAGTAAGAAGTCCACGTATCACGGTCAGGGGTCAGTATTAGAATAATAAAAAGTACCACTGGTCCAGTCCCAGTAAGAAGTCCACGTATCACGGTCAGGGGTCAGTATTGGAATAATAAAAAGTACCACTGGTCCAGTCCCAGTAAGAAGTCCACGTATCATGGTCAGGGGTCAGTATTGGAATAATAAAAAGTACCACTGGTCCAGTCCCAGTAAGAAGTCCACGTATCACGGTCAGGGGTCAGTATTGGAATAATAAAAAGTACCACTGGTCCAGTTCCAGTAAGAAGTCCACGTATCACGGTCAGGGGTCAGTATTAAAATAATAAAAAGTACCACTGGTCCAGTCCCAGTAAGAGGTCCACGTATCATGGTCAGGGGTCAGTATTAGAATAATAAAAAGTACCACTGGTCCAGTCCCAGTAAGAGGTCCACGTATCATGGTCAGGGGTCAGTATTGGAATAATAAAAAGTACCACTGGTCCAGTCCCAGTAAGAAGTCCACGTATCATGGTCAGGGGTCAGTATTGGAATAATAAAAAGTACCACTGGTCCAGTCCCAGTAAGAAGTCCACGTATCATGGTCAGGGGTCAGTATTGGAATAATAAAAAGTACCACTGGTCCAGTCCCAGTAAGAAGTCCACGTATCATGGTCAGGGGTCAGTATTGGAATAATAAAAAAGTACCACTGGTCCAGTTCCAGTAAGAAGTCCACGTATCATGGTCAGGGGTCAGTATTAAAATAATAAAAAGTACCACTGGTCCAGTCCCAGTAAGAGGTCCACGTATCATGGTCAGGGGTCAGTATTGGAATAATAAAAAGTACCACTGGTCCAGTCCCAGTAAGAGGTCCACGTATCATGGTCAGGGGTCAGTATTGGAATAATAAAAAGTACCACTGGTCCAGTCCCAGTAAGAGGTCCACGTATCATGGTCAGGGGTCAGTATTGGAATAATAAAAAGTACCACTGGTCCAGTCCCAGTAAGAAGTCCACGTATCATGGTCAGGGGGTCAGGCTCAGAGACCAGTAGCTATAACAGAGAGAGGCTTCCACCAACCAGCAGGATAGGTATACAAGCTGGGCACCCTGGCGGATGACACGGGCTCACCGGAGGTGTGGGGTCTAAGCACTAACCAGTATTCACAAAAGCTCCTGATGGTGGGGATGGGTTTTGCTGCGTGTTAGTATCAGGTCATGCTCCTCAGGATCGCCCCACCAGGAGGTGAGCAAGCCAGGATCCAGTAGCAGGTATAGCAGGTGGGGTGTCAAGCAGAAGAATAGTCAGTAAATAGGCTAAATGTAATGGGTTGCAGGTTGGGATCAAGCAGAAGCATGGTTGAGGATCAAGCCAAAGGTCAGTAACAAGTGGTTCCAGGTTGGGATCAAGCAGAAGTGTAGTCGAGAACAAGCCCAAGGTCGGTAACGAGTGGTAGTGAAGATACGGACGGCAGCAAGAGTTAAAGGATCGAGATATTGACTGGAGAGAGCACAATAATATAGCAAGCAGGAAGTGCAAAGGCGTGGCTTAAATAGGAGGTTTATGGGAGGATCAAAGAATTGAAGGTTCACCAGAAATCAGGTTTAAGATTAGAGTCTCCAAGGAATTGTCCAGGAGGCTGTCCAGCATGTCCAGGTGGCTCAGCAAGAACAGATACCACCAGACACCGCAGAGGTCGTAGGTTCAGATCTGGGTCCTGGCACCATGGCTTGCTCTAGGCAGTACATTGGTTATAAAAACACCGACCCCATATACAGTCTGTGGAGGGATTGTATCAGTGCAGCGCGGCCACTTACTGCTTCTTCTTTTTCCTCTTCAGCCCAACGATGGCAGACATTTGTGAAAAGCTGAATGAATGTCACTTTGTTCTTTGTTGTGACATTGTTTCCTTTCTGACATGTAACGTTTATTTCTCCAAGAGAAAGTCACCAAGGAATGCGATGACAAAGGCAACTGGTTCCGGCACCCCGAGAGTAACAGGACGTGGAGCAATTACACCCGATGTAACAAACACACCCACGTCAAGGTGAAGGTAAGGAGACAAGGATCCAACGGGGCGAGCAGAACGAGGGGCGGGCAGGACGGGGGCGGGCAGGACGGGGGGCGGGCAGGACGGGGGGCAAGCAGAACGGGGGGCGGGCAGGACGGGGGGCAAGCAGAACGGGGGTCGGGCAGGACGGGGGGCGGGCAGAGAACGGGGGGCGGGCAGGACGGGGGGCGAGCAGCTGGACCATGGAGTCCCCCCAGCTGCTCTTAGGAGGAGTATTAGGAAAAGCGCCAACACATCCGTTTTATCATTTGTTTTTTATCCCATTTTTTTTTCAACCTTTTTTTAATCCCATTTTTTACATCCGTTTTTTTCATCCTTTTTTCTATCTGTTTTTTTCATCTGTTTTTTCATCAGTTTTTTTTATCCTTTTTTTAACCATTCTTCAATTTGTTTACGTCCATTTTTTCATCTGTTTTCTTTCATCCGTTTTTTCATCCGTTTTTTCATCGTTGTTTACATCTGTTTTTTTTTTTCATCTGTTTTTAATCCTTTTTTTAACCATTTTTTAATCTGTTTACATCCATTTTTTTCATCTGTTTTTTTCATCCGTTTTTTTTTCATCTGTTTTTTCGTCTGTTTACATCAGTTTTTTCATGTTTACATCTGTTTTTTTTTCACCGTTTTTTCATCAGTTTTTTTCATCTGTTTTCATCCGTTTACATCCATTTTTTTCATCGTTTTTTTCATCCGTTTACATCTGTTTTTTTTAATCTGTTTACATCCGTTTTTCATCTGTTTACATGTTTTTTCATTTAATCTGTTTACATCCGTTTTTTTTTTCATCTGTTTTTTCATCTGTTGTTTGTCATCCATTTACATCCGTTTTTTTTTCATCTGTTTACATCTTTTTTTCTTACGTCTACATCTGTTTTTTTCATCTGTTTTTTTCATCTCTTTTTCATCCATTTACATCTGTTTTTTCATCTGTTTTTCATCCGTTTACATCAGTTTTTTCATGTTTACATCCGTTTTTTCATGCGTTTACATCCATTTTTTTCATCTGTTTTTTAATCTGTTTACATCCGGTTTTTTCATCTGTTTACATCCATTTTTTCATCTGTTTTTTCATCTGTTTTTCATCTGTTTTTCATCCGGTTTTTCATCCGTTTACATCTGTTTTTTTCATCCCTTTTTTTTTTTACCATTTTTTAATCCATTTACATCCGTTTTTTCATCCTTTTTTCTATCTGTTTTTTTTTCATCTGTTTTTTCATCAGTTTTTTTTATCCTTTTTTTTAACCATTCTTTAATTTGTTTACGTCCATTTTTTCATCTGTTTCTTTCATCCGTTTTTTCATCCGTTTTTTCATCTGTGTACATCTGTTTTTTTCATCTGTTTTTAATCCTTTTTTTAACCATTTTTTTAATCTGTTTACATCCATTTTTTCATCTGTATTTTCATCCGTTTTTTTTCATCTGTTTTTTCGTCCGTTTACATCAGTTTTTTTCATGTTTACATCTGTTTTTTTTCACCGTTTTTTCATCAGTTTTTTCATCTGTTTTCATCCGTTTACATCCATTTTTTTCATCTTTTTTTTTCATCCGTTTACATCTGTTTTTTTTTAATCTGTTTACATCCGTTTTTCATCTGTTTACATGTTTTTTTTTTTTTTTAATCTGTTTACATCCGTTTTTTTCATCTGTTTTTCATCTGTTTTTCGTCCATTTACATCCGTTTTTTTCATCTGTTTACATCTGTTTTTTCTTACGTCTACATCTGTTTTTTTTCATCTGTTTTTTTCATCTCTTTTTTCATCCATTTACATCTGTTTTTTCATCCGTTTACATCCGTTTTTTTCATGTTTACATCCGTTTTTTCATGCGTTTACATCCATTTTTTCATCTGTTTTTTTAATCTGTTTTTCATCCGGTTTTCATCCGTTTACATCTGTTTTTTCATCCCTTTTTTTTACCATTTTTTAACCCATTTACATCCGTTTTTTCATCCTTTTTTCTATCTGTTTTTTTCATCTGTTTTTTCATCAGTTTTTTTATCTGTTTTTTTTAACCATTTCTTTAATTTGTTTACGTCCATTTTTTCATCTGTTTCTTTCATCCGTTTTTTTCATCTGTGTACATCATGTTTTTTTCATCTGTTTTTTAATCCTGTTTTTAATCAGTTTTTTAACCATTTTTTAATCTTTTACATCCATTTTTTCATCTCCGTTTTTTCATCCATCCTGTTTTTTTCATCTGTTTTTTCATCCGTTTACATCAGTTTTTTTTCATGTTTACATCTGTTTTTTCACCGTTTTTTTCATCAGTTTTTTCATCTGTTTTCATCCGTTACATCCATTTTTTCATCTGTTTTTTTCATCCATTTACATCTGTTTTTTTTAATCTGTTTACATCCGTTTTTCATCTGTTTACATGTTTTTTTTAATCTGTTTACATCCGTTTTTTCATCTGTTTTTCATCCATTTACATCCGTTTTTTTCATCTGTTTACATCTGTTTTTTCTTACGTCTACATCTGTTTTTTCATCTCTTTTTCATCCATTTACATCTGTTTTTTCATCTGTTTTTTCATCCGTTTACATCAGTTTTTTCATGTTTACATCCGTTTTTCATGCGTTTACATCCATTTTTTCATCTGTTTTTTAATCTGTTTACATCCGTTTTTTCATCTGTTTACATCTGGTTTTTCATCTGTTTACATCCTTTTTTTCATCTGTTTTTCATCTGTTTTTCATCCGGTTTTCATCCGTTTTACATCTGTTTTTTCTTACGTTTTACATCTGTTTTTTTCATCTCTTTTTACATCTCTTTTTCATCCATTTACATCCGTTTTTTCATTCATTTTTATCCATTTACATTGCTTTTACATCCGTTTTCATCCGTCTACATCCGTTCTTGATCCATCTACATCCGTTTTTCATCCGTTTACAATGTTCACGGTCAGAGAGTGAGAGGTGAGGCGGACATTATGGATGTAAAAAGATGTTAATAGAAATACATGGGGGTCTGTTATTCATCCGTAAACGGACAGATGAAAAACGGACCTCCGGAACGTCCGGTGAAGGAGGCCTTCTAGATGTGCCGCTCCTGTAGGGAGCACAGAAGTGGAGGAATCTATAGACAGGAGATGTGTTAATCCCTATTGGAGGGTTGTTTTTCATTGCAATATATCGGTCATGGGTTGGTGTGTGCGATCGCTCGATCGTGCTTTGGGGGTTATTTACTAAAACTGAACGGGTAAAATCTGTGCAGCTCCACATAGGAACCAACAGCTTCCAGTTTTTTTATTGTCAAAGCTTCATGGAACAAGCTGAAGGTAGAAGCTGATTGGCTCCCATGTACAGCTGCACCAGATCCTGAGTACTCCAGTTTTAGTCATCTCCCCAATGTGTTCTCTGCAGTATGTCAGACGCATGGCTGACCATCCACCAAGGGTAACCAAGTACTTCCTACAGACACACATCTCGGGGATTTGTCTTCTTTTACTTTCTCTGGTATTGAAAGAGTTAACATGTCAGAGAGTGGAGGTGACCTGTCAGAGAGCGGAGGGGTCTGTCAGAGAGCGGAGGGGGCCTGTCAGACAGTGGAGGTGACCTGTCAGAGAGTGGAGGTGACCTGTCAGAGAGTGGAGGTGACCTGTCAGAGAGTGGAGGTGACCTGTCAGAGAGTGGAGGGGCCTGTCAGAGAGGTTTACAGGGGCCTGTCAGAGAGAGTGAAGGGCCTGTCAGAGAGTGGAGGTGACCTGTCAGAGAGCGGAGGTGACCTGTCAGAGAGCGAAGGGTCCTGTCAGAGAGCGAAGGGTCCTGTCAGAGAGCGAAGGGTCCTGTCAGAGAGCGGGAGGGGCCTGTCAGAGAGCGGGAGGGGCCTGTCAGAGAGGGAAGGGGCCTGTCAGAGAGCGAAGGGGCCTGTCCGAGGAGCGGAGGGGCCTGTCAGAGAGCGGAGGGGCCTGTCAGAGAGCGGAGGTGACCTGTCAGAGAGCGGCGAGGGGCCTGTCAGAGAGCGGAGGGGCCTGTCAGAGAGGGGAGGGGCCTGTCAGAGAGCTGGAGGGGGCCTGTCAGAGAGCGGAGGGGACATGTCAGAGAGCGGAGGGGCCTGTCAGAGAGCGGAGGGGCCTGTCAGAGAGTGGAGGTGACCTGACAGAGAGTGGAGAGGCCTGTCAGAGAGCAGATCGGGGACCTATCAGAGAGCGGAGGGGCCTGTCAGAGAGCGGAGGGGACATGTCAGAGAGTGGAGGTGACCTGTCAGAGAGTGGAGGGGTCTGTCAGAGAGTGGGGGTGACCTGTCAGAGAGTGGAGGGGGCCTGTCAGAGAGTGGAGGGGCCTGTCAGAGAGTGGAGGGGCCTGTCAGAGAGTGGAGGTGACCTGTCAGAGAGTGGAGGGACCTGTCGGAGTGGAGGTAACATGTCAGAGAGTGGAGGGGCCTGTCAGAGAGAGTGGAGGTGACCTGACAGAGAGTGGAGAGGCCTGTCAGAGAGAGATGTGACCTATCAGAGAGCGGAGGGGCCTGTCAGAGAGTGGAGGGGCCTGTCAGAGAGTGGAGGGGCCTGTCAGAGAGTGGAGGGGCCTGTCAGAGAGTGGAGGTGACCTGTCAGAGAGTGGAGGGACCTGTCGGAGTGGAGGTAACATGTCAGAGAGTGGAGGGGGCCTGTCAGAGAGTGGAGGTGACCTGACAGAGAGTGGAGAGGCCTGTCAGAGAGCAGATGTGACCTATCAGAGAGCGGAGGGGCCTGTCAGAGAGCGGAGGGGGCCTGTCAGAGAGTGGAGGGGCCTGTCAGAGAGCTGAGGGGCCTGTCAGAGAGCGGAGGTGACCTGTCAGAGAGCGGAGGGACCTGTCAGAGAGTGGAGGTGACCTGTCAGGGAGTGGATGGGCCTGTCAGAGAGTGGAGGGGCCTGTCAGAGAGTGGAGGGGTCTGTCAGAGAGTGGAGGGGCCTGTCAGAGAGCGGAGAGGCCTGTCAGAGAGTGGAGGGGCCTGTCAGAGAGTGGAGGGGGTCTGTCAGAGAGTGGAGGGGACCTGTCAGAGAGCGTAGGTGACCTGTCAGAGAGCGTAGGGACCTGTCAGAGAGCGGAGGGGCCTGTCAGAGAGTGGAGGGGCCTGTCAGAGAGTGGAGGGGTCTGTCAGAGAGTGGAGGTGACCTGTCAGAGAGCGTAGGGGACCTGTAAGAGAGCGGAGGGGCCTGTCAGAGAGTGGAGGGGCCTGTCAGAGAGTGGAGGTGACCTGTCAGAGAGCGGAGGGGCCTGTCAGAGAGTGGAGGGGTCTGTCAGAGAGTGGAGGGGCCTGTCAGAGAGTGGAGGGGCCTGTCAGAGAGCGGAGGGGCCTGTCAGAGAGTGGAGGGGTCTGTCAGAGAGTGGAGGGGCCTGTCAGAGAGCGGAGAGGCCTGTCAGAGAGCGGAGGGGTCTGTCAGAGAGTGGAGGTGACCTGTCAGAGAGTGGAGGGGTCTGTCAGAGAGCGGAGGTGACCTGTCAGAGAGCGTAGGTGACCTGTCAGGGAGTGGAGGTGACCTGTCAGGGAGTGGAGGGGACCTGTCAGGGAGTGGAGGGGCCTGTCAGAGAGTGGAGGGGCCTGTCAGAGAGTGGAGGGGCCTGTCAGAGAGTGGAGGGGTCTGTCAGAGAGTGGAGGGGCCTGTCAGAGAGCGGAGAGGCCTGTCAGAGAGCGGGGGGGGTCTGTCAGAGAGTGGAGGTGACCTGTCAGAGAGTGGGAGGGGTCTGTCAGAGAGCGGAGGTGACCTGTCAGAGAGCGGAGGGGCCTGTCAGAGAGCGGAGGGGTCTGTCAGAGAGTGGAGGTGACCTGTCAGAGAGCGGAGGGGTCTGTCAGAGAGTGGAGGTGACCTGTCAGAGAGCGGAGGGGTCTGTCAGAGAGCGGAGGGGCCTGTCAGAGAGCGGAGGGGCCTGTCAGAGAGCGGAGGGGTCTGTCAGAGAGAGCGGAGGGGCAGGAAGATTTGAGGTTTTCTTGCCGCTTGTATCAGCTTTGGTCTTTAGGCTCCTGAACGATCGTGTGATTTTCTTTTTCTCTATTATTTTATAGACGGCTCTTAATTTGTATTATCTGACTATCATTGGACAAGGATTGTCGATTGCCTCGTTATTAATATCACTGGGAATCTTTTTTTATTTCAAGTAAGTCGTTTTTTGTTTTCCTTTTAAGATAATATATTTGCAGAAACAGTACAAAATGTAAACCTGCCCCAGGGAGCTGGGTGGCCAATAATTGCCTTTCTGACCCCTAAGAAAGCCTTTCTCAGCTTTTTGGTAACATTGGATTGTTGATGTCTCGCAGCTTCATGATTGAAATTTCCCCGCCTCCTCCCAACTTTCTTGCCTTCTGGTTGGCTGCCACATGTGTTGGGTGAGCTCACTAGCCAATGATAAGGAGGGGGGGGAGAAGGAGCCAGGAAGCTGGGTGGCCAATTATTGCCTTTCTGGCCCGTAGGAAAGCCTTTCTCAGCTTTTTTGGTAACATTGGATTGTTGATGTCTCACAGCTTCATGGTCGAAATTTTCATGCCTCCTTCCAACTTTCTCGCCTTCTGGTTGGCTGCCACATGTGGTGGGTGAGCTCACTAGCCAATAAGAAAAGGTGAGGGGGAGGAAGGAACCAGGAAACTGGGTGGCCAATAATTGCCTTTCTGACCCCTTTCTCAGCTTTTTTGTAACATTGGATTGTTGATGTCTCGCAGCTTCATGGTCAAAATTTCATGCCTCCGCCAAACTTTCTTGGTTGGCTGCCACATGTGGTGGGTGGGTTCACTAGCCAATGACAAGGGGTGGGGGGGAAGGAGGAGCCAGGAAGCTGGGTGGCCAATAATTGCCTTTCTGACCCCTAAGAAAGCCTTTCTCAGCTTTTTTGTAACATTGGATTGCTGACGTCTCTCAGCTACATGGTCGAAATTTTCATGCCTCCTCCAAACTTTCTTGTCTTCTGGTTGGCTGCCACATGTGGTGGGTGGGTTCACTAGCCAATGACAAGGGGTGGGGGGGGGGGGGGAAGGAGCCAGGAAGCTGGGTTGCCAATAATTGCCATTCTGACCCCTAAGAAAGCCTTTCTCAGCTTTTTTGTAGCACAGAGGACCCTCTGTAATAATTTTCGTTCTCAGGGACCCCTGCTAATACATTCCCTCTCTACAGCTCAGGGAGCATTGGCATGAACAAATAAAGAACGGGAGATATTTAAATTATTTGACACCCAGGGCTGCTCTTCATTACAGAATAATAAATGTAGGAAACAAATAATAATAATGGGCAAAAAAGAAATGCCGCAAACGGTAGGATCCCCTCACATTGGTGGTTTGTGGAAAATTGACCCTTTACATTGCTGTCCAGTGAAACGCTTTCTTACATTGGTGGTCAATGACGAGGCTCCCTTACTTAAGGGGTTAGTGGAAAAGGTTCAGATTGGTAGTCAGTTGGAGAAGAGCCCCCCTTACATTGGTGATCATTGGGAGAGGGGCCCTATGCATTGGTGGTCAATGAAGGGCTACCCTTCTTTAAGGATCAGTGGGGAAGGTCCCTTTTAGATTGTTGATCACTGGGGGAAAGAGCCCTTATATTGATAATTATTGGGAAAGGGATCCCCTTACATTGGTGGTCCACCACCCACATTGGTGGTCAATGAAGACCTCCCTTGCTTTAGGGGTCAGTGGGGAAGGGCCATTTAGATTAGTGGTCAGTAGGAGAAGTCACCTACACTGGTGTACATTGGGAGAGGGATCCCCTTACATTAGTGGTCAATGAAGAGCGATCTTATTTTAGGGGTCAATGAAGAAGGGACCCCTTAGATTGATGGTCAGTTCAAGAAGAACCCCTTACATTGGTGGTCAATAGGAGAGGGCCTCCATCTCATTAATGGTCAATGAGGAGCTATCCTACTTTAGGGGTCAATGGAGAAAGGTCCCCTTAGATTGGTGGTCCGTGGGAGAAGGGCCCCTTAAATTGGTGATCATTGGAAGAGGGGCTCCCTTACACTGGTGAATGAAGAGCTTCCTTACTTTAGGGGTCAGTGGATAAGGGCCCCCTTACATTGGTAGTCAATGAAAACTACCTTACTTTAGGAGTCAGTGGAAAAGGGCCCCCTTAAGTTGGTTGTCACTAGGAGAAGAACCCCCTTACATTGGTGATCATTGGGAGAGCCCCATTTACACTGGTTGTCAATGAAGAACACACTTTAGAGGTCAGTGGAAGAAGCCCCCCTTAGATTGTTGGTCAGAGGTAGAAGATCTCCCTTACATTGGTGATCATTGAGAGAGGGTCCCCGTACATTGTTGGTCAATGAAGAGCACCCTTAAGGGGTCAGTGGAGGAGGGCCCCCTTAGATTGTTGGTCAGTGGTAGAAGGACTCCCTTACATTGGTGATCATTGGGACGGGGGCTGTCTTATATTGGTGAATGAAGAAATACCTTACTTTAGAGATCAGTGGATAAGGGCCCCCTTGCATTGGTGGTCAATGAAAAGTTACCTTACTTTAGGGGTCAGTGAAGAAAGGCCCCCTTAGATTGGTGGTCAATGAGAGAAGGGCCCCTTAAATTGGTGATCATTGTAAGAGGGGCTCTCTTACATTGGTGAATGAAGAACTACCTTATTTTAGGAGCCAGTGGATAAGGGCCCCCTTACATTAGTGGTCAGTGAAAAGCTACCTTACTTTAGGGGTTAGTGGTGAAGCACCCCATTCAGTTGGCGTTCAGTAGGAGACAAACCCCCTTACATTGATGATCACTGGGAGAGGCCCCCCCCTTACATTGGTGGTCAATAAACAGCACCCTTTGGAGGTCAGTGGAGGATGGTCTTCTTAGATTGTTGGTCAGTGGTTGAAAGACTCCCTTACATTTGTAATCACTGGGAGAGGGCCCCCCCCCCTTACATTGGTGGTCAATGAAGAACACCGTTTAGAGGTCAGTGGAGGAAGCCCCCCTTAGACTATTGGTCAATGGTAGAAGGACTCCCTTACATTGGTGATCATTGGGAGAGGGCCCCCTTAAATTGGTGGTCAATGAAGAACACCATTTAGAGGTCTGTGCAGGAAGCCCCCCTTAGACTGTTGGTCAATGGTAGAAGGAATACCTTACATTGGTGATCATTGGGAGAGCGCCCCCTTACATTGGTGGTCAATGAAGAACACCGTTTAGAGGTGAGTGGAGGAAGCCCCCCTTAGACTGTTGGTCAATGGTAGAAGGACTCCCTTACATTGGTGATCATTGGGAGAGCGCCCCCTTACATTGGTGGTCAATGAAGAACACCGTTTAGAGGTCTGTGCAGGAAGCCCTCCTTAGATTGTTGGTCAATGGTAGAAGGACACCCTTACATTGGTGATCATTGGAAGAGGGCCCCCTTACATTGGTGGTCAATGAAGAACACCATTTAGAGGTCTGTGCAGGAAGCCCCCCTTAGATTGTTGGTCAATGGTAGAAGGACTCCCTTACATTGGTGATCATTGGGAGAGGGCCCCCTTACATTGGTGGTCAATGAAGAACACCATTTAAAGGTCTGTGCAGGAAGCCCCCCTTAGATTGTTGGTCAATGGTAGAAGGACTCCCTTACATTGGTGATCATTGGGAGAGGGCCCCCTTACATTGGTGGTCAATGAAGAACACCATTTAGAGGTGAGTGGAGGAAGCCCCCCTTAGACTGTTGGTCAATGGTAGAAGGACTCCCTTACATTGGTGATCATTGGGAGAGGGCCCCCCTACATTGGTGGTCAATGAAGAACACCATTTAGAGGTCAGTGGAGGAAGCCCCCCCTTAGATTGTTGGTCAATGGTAGAAGGACTCCCTTACATTGGTGATCATTGGGAGAGGGCCCTTAAGGGGTCAGTGGAGGAGGGCCCCCTTGGATTGTTGGTCAGTAGTAGGAGGACTCCCTTACACTGGTGACCATTAGGAGAGGAAGCCTGGGCCATCACCGTAGATGTAGATGAGGTATGCCATCTGATGTCTCCTTCACAATATTTGCAATTTGCTCTTCTTTCTCCAGAAATTTAAGCTGCCAGAGGATCACCCTTCACAAAAATCTTTTTATGTCCTTCGTGTGCAATTCCATCGTCACCATTATTTCGCTGACAGCTGTGGCCAACAACCAGACTTTAGTTGCCACCAACCCGGTAGGTCGGATCATTCTTATTCATCTATCCGATAATTCGAAGTAAAGTTCCATATTCTGTTGTTTTCCATGACGAGTGTATTATAGAAAGACTGCTACTCCGGGCATGAACTCGTTTCACCTCTTCAGACTGGGCGTACCGGCCACGTCCAAACAACCAAACAGGTTAAAACCAAAATGAATGAATTAAAACCAGGGAGATGATGTCCTAGAATGGCCAAGTCAGCATCCAGATCTCAATGAAGACTGATCCCCATACAAGCTGAAAGCTGGAGCAATTTTGAAAAGAATAATGGGGGGGAGGGGAAGAGGAAACGTGTCCAGATGTGCAGAGCTGATAGGGAACAATCCTTACAGACTCAAGGCTGAGATTGCTTCCTGTTGGCCGTAGGGCAGGGCCGTGGATAAGGGCGTACCACCGGTCCTCCTGTATGGGGCCCAGGCCAGCAGGGGGGCCCAGGCAGCGGGTGAATCGGATGTGTGCATGGATGGCGATCGGCACTGGGGGGGCAATTACTAGAATTGATCCCCTATATGGCTCTCTCTACAGCAGCTGAAAGCCGGAATCTTCTCTTCTTCCTCTCAATGGATTTCAGTTGCTGCAGTGAGAACCATACAGGGGATCGGTTCCAGTAATTGCCCCCCCCCCCCCTTCTTGGTGCGCCTATCACCCTCCCTGTGCACCATATGTTTCCCCCTGCTGCTTAGGCCTTCCTGAGTGCCCCCCACCACCGCAGTGCTGCCGGTTTCCCTCCTTCCCACCAGCAGCTACAAGCACACAATAGGATCCTTTAGGATGGAGAGTAGAGGGAGGGTTCGGTAAATATGTCACATTTACCATCCCTTTCCTTTCCTGAATGAACACAATGACTGATCGGTACCAGGGGCGGACTGACAACTCATGGGGCCCCCGGGCAATAGGGGATCATGGGGCCCCTGTGTCCTCATCCCACACCCAAAAAAGCCTATGAAAAAGCCAATGAAAGGTACCAGGGGCATTTCATGGGGCCCCCTACTGACCCCGGGCCCTCGGGCAGTGCCCGAGTGCTGGAATGGTCAGTTTGCCCCTGATCGGTACTGATCACTCACTCAAACTGAAGCATAGTGTGGGGTTTTTTTTTGGGGGGGGCTAACGGGTTGGATGTATGGGGCTCTATGGTTTCTAACAGCAGCTCTACCATAGGGCAAGAAGGTAGTTGAAGACAGATATTCCTCCATGTTCCCCATTAACTCGTTGGGCGCCAAGTGTGCATTACATAAGAGTCTTACCCCGGGGTTGGTTCTTCTGGGCTAGACTGGGCACCTGTAACAGGATCACTCTACTTCACATACATGGGGTACCTTTACTCTCCTGCCGTTTCCATCAATGCTCTGGGACAAGGCCGCCCTCAGGAAATACTCGTCCTCGGGGCGGGTCTCTACTCATAGAGGTGAACGTACTCCATGTACACTTGTACTACAACTGTTTTCCAGTTACTCTCGGGTCCTCGTAGAAATGTACATTTTCCAGCTGTACAATTAGGTGTGGCCATGCCGAACTCCAATCACAGCTACCTGTTCGGTGTCTTCCTACGACCGGTCCCAGTAGCCACATGGAACTCCGCCGCGCACATAGCGCTGGCTCCAATGTGCGCTTGACTTGAACTCATGAACTTCCGTAGCTCTCTACAGGATGGGAACCTCAGCAGTCCCACTCTAGTTGCTATAGGGGACGGAAAGCGGCGTAGGGAGTGCCGAAAACATCTCCCTCACAGCCAGAGGCAACTCCACCTATAACAGGTACACGTTTCCAAATTGCTGACTGTACCTTCGTTGCCCATGGCAACCACAGGTATAACTCGTAGTAGGACGACTCTTTACGTGCTGGTTCTTCGTACCCCATGCGCTTGTGACCCAAACCTTAGACCAGGGATGCTCAACCTTCTGAAGAGCCGGGGCCACTTAAGTGATTTGGTAACCAGTCATGGGCCTCAATGAAATGGTTTAGAACTTAGAATTTTTTATTTTGAATGGCATAGTGAACGTTTTCCTCCTGCAGCCGCCGAATGCTGGCGGGAGGGAGAGGAGGAGAAGCCAGCTTTGTTACAAGTTGCAGGAGGAAAATGGAAAGGATCAGTTCCTGTATATGCCGCCCCCTGCTGCCCGAAGTGTAAAACAGAATTTCTTCTTCCTCTTCCTCTTTTCCTCTTCCTCTTTCCTCTTCCCTCTTCCCTCTTCCCTCTTTCCTCTTTCCTCTTCCCTCTTTCCTCTTTCCTCTTCCCTCTTCCCTCTTCCCTCTTTCCTCTTTCCTCTTTCCTCTTTCCTCTTCCCTATTTCCTCTTCCTCTTCCCCCCTTTCCTCTTTCCCTTCCCTCTTTCCTCTTTCCTCTTTCCTCTTCCCTCTTTCCTCTTTCCTCTTTCTCTTTCCGTCTTTCCTCTTCCTTTCCCTCTTCCCTCTTTCCTCTTCCCCCCTCTTCCCTCTTTCCTCTTCCCTCTTTCCTCTTCCCTCTTCCCTCTTCCCTCTTTCCTCTTCCCCCTTTCCTCTTCCCTCTTTCCTCTTCCCCCTTTCCTCTTTCCTCTTTCCTCTTTCCTCTTTCCCCTTTCCCCTTTCCCCTTTCCTCTTTCCTCTTTCCTCTTTCCTCTTCCCTCTTCCCTCTTTCCTTTCCTTTCCTCTTCCCTCTTTCCTCTTTCCTCTTCCCTATTTCCTCTTCCCTCTTTCCTCTTCCCTCTTCCCCCTTTCCTCTTCCCTCTTTCCTCTTCCCTCTTTCCTCTTCCCTCTTTCGTCTTTCCTCTTCCCTCTTCCCTCTTTCCTCTTCCCCCCTTTTCTCTTCCCTCTTTCCTCTTCCCTCTTTCCTCTTCCCTCTTTCCTCTTCCCTCTTTCCTCTTCCCTCTTTCCTCTCTTCCCCCTTTCCTCTTCCCTCTTTCCTCTTCCCCCTTTCCTCTTTCCTCTTCCCTCTTTCCTCTTCCCCCTTTCCTCTTTCCTCTTCCTCTTTCCCCTTTCCTCTTCCCTCTTCCCCCTTTCCTCTTCCCTCTTTCCTCTTCCCTCTTCCCTCTTTCCTCTTTCCTCTTCCCTCTTTCCCTCTTCCCTCTTTCCTCTTCCCCCTTTTCTCTTCCCTCTTTCCTCTTCCCTCTTTCCTCTTCCCTCTTCCCTCTTTCCTCTTCCCTCTTTTCTCTTCCCTCTTTCCTCTTCCCCCTCCTCTTCCTCTTCCCTCTTTCCTCTTCCCTCTTTCCTCTTCCCTCTTTCCTCTTCCCCCTTTCCTCTTCCCTCTTTCCTCTTCCCCCCCTTCCCTCTTTCCTCTTTCCTCTTTCCCCTTTCCCCTTTCCCCTTTCCCCTTTCCTCTTTCCTCTTTCCTCTTCCCTCTTTCCTCTTCCCTCTTCCTCTTCTTCCTCTTCTTCCTCTTCCTCCTCTTCCTCTTCCTCTTCCTCCTCTTCCTCGTCTTCTTCTTCTTCTCCCATCATTGTAGGGAAAATCGGCCGATCGGCAAAATCGGACGTTTTTTTCCAACTTTACCGATAAAAAAACCCTGAAAAATTAACCTACTAACGGTGCGAAAATCGGGCAAATTTTTTTTTCCGGCCGAAAGATCGGCCAATTTTCGACCCGTCTATGGCCTGCATATCTATGTTACTATGTTTGCGTTCTGCTGTGTGTGCTCCTTCAAGACGAATGTTCTCCCCGCTTAGTTTTGCCGTACCAATTATCCATTCTCTGCCCGGCCGTCCCGTAGCCGCCGTATTCTGCTTGTGCTCTTTGTCTGTACTAATACCCTTTAACTGTCACTTATTGTGATGGCAGGTGAGCTGCAAGATCTCCCAGTTCATCCACTTCTATCTGATGGGATGCAATTACTTCTGGATGCTGTGTGAAGGGATCTACCTCCATACACTCATAGTGGTGGCCGTGTTTGCCGAGAAGCAGCACCTGATCTGGTATTACCTACTAGGATGGGGTAAGACGTTCCGACGTTCCTTTGTTGTCCGTTTTATGACACGTGAAGATGATGATGATGATGAATTGCCCGGCTGGTTTATACATCATTTTATTTATCTTTTATTTGGGAGTCATGACAGGTTAAATGGGGGCATTTGGAGGACCTGCTGTGTGTCCATGGGGGGGGGGGGGATTTCCTCTTATTTTCTACTCCCTGTGACCACCTGTCATCAGAACAGGAGGGGGGAGGGAGGTTCCTCAATGATCTATGTAATTGGGCAGCTATGTGGCCAATGAGGTTCAATGTTGATAAATGTAAGGTTGGGGCTAAGATATGCATGCATTAAACATACTGGGGGGTACAACTGGGTGGGTCAATGGTGGAGAAGGATCTGAGGGTCTGAGGGGGTCAATGGCGGAGAAGGATTTGGAGGGGTCAATGGTGGAGAAGGATCTGGGGGGGTCAATGGTGGAGAGGGATCTGGGGGGGTCAATGGTGGAGAAGGATCTGGGGGGGGTCAATGGTGGAGAAGGATCTGGGGGGTCAATGGTGAAGGATCTGGGGGGTCAATGGTGGAGAAGGATCTGGGGGGTCAATGGTGGAGAAGGATCTGGGGGGGTCAATGGAGGAGAAGGATCTGGGGGGTCAATGGTGGAGAAGGATTTGGAGGGGTCAATGGTGGAGAGGGATCTGGGGGGGTCAATGATGGAGAAGGATCTGGGGGTGTCAATGGTGGAGAAGGATCTGGGGGGGTCAATGGAGGAGAAGGATCTGGGGGGGTCAATAGTGAAGGATCTGGGGGGTCAATGGTGAAGGATCTGGGGGGGTCAATGGTGAAGGATCTGGGGGGATCAATGGTGGAGAAGGATCTGGGGGGGGTCAATAGTGAAGGATCTGCGGGGTCAATGGTAAAGGATCTGGGGGGGTCAATGGGTGAAGGATCTGGGGGGATCAATGGTGGAGAAGGATCTGGGGGGTCAATGGTGAAGGATCTGGGGGGTCAATGGTGGAGAAAGATCTGGGGGGTCAATGGTGGAGAAGGATCTGGGGGGGGTCAATGGAGGAGAAGGATCTGGGGGGGGGGGTCAATAGTGAAGGATCTGGGGGGGTCAATGGTGAAGGATCTGGGGGGGGTCAATGGTGAAGGATCTGGGGGATCAATGGTGGAGAAGGATCTGGGGGGGGGTCAATAGTGAAGGATCTGGGTGGGGGTCAATGGTAAAGGATCTGGGGGGGTCAATGGTGAAGAATCTGGGGGGATCAATGGTGGAGAAGGATCTGGGGGGGTCAGTGGTGGATAAGGATCTGGGGGGTCAATGCTGAAGGATCTGGGGGGGGTCAATGGTGAAGGATCTGGGGCGGTCAATGGTGGACAAGGATCTTGGGGGGTCAATGGTGAAGGATCTAGGGTTTCTGGTAGATCACAAGCTTAATAATGGCAGCAATGCCAAGTTGCGGGTTCTACAGTGAGCAAAATCCTCTCTTGTATTAGGAGAGGTATAGACTCCAGAGAGAGAGATATCCCCCCCCCCCCTCCCCCCGGGTACAAATCATTAGTAAGACCTCATCTGGAATATGCAGTTCAGTTTTGGGCTCCAATTCACAAAAAGAACATTGGGGAACTGGAGAAAGAACAGAGAAGGGCAACCAAACTGATATGAGGCATGGAGGAGATCATCTATGAGGAGAGATTAGAGGAACTGAATGTATTCTCTACTGAGAAGAGGAGATTAAGGGGGGATATGATCTCCATGTATAATACATAAGGGGGGATATGATCTCCATGTATAATACATAAGGGGGGATATGATCTCCATGTATAATACATAAGGGGGGATATGATCTCCATGTATAATACATAAGGGGGGATATGAACTCCATGTATAATACATAAGGGGGGGATATGATCTCCATGTATAATACATAAGGGGGGATATGATCTCCATGTATAATACATAAGGGGGGATATGATCTCCATGTATAATACATAAGGGGGGGATATGATCTCCACGTATAATACATGAGGGGGGATATGATCTCCATGTATAATACATAAGGGGGGATATGATCTCCATGTATAATACATAAGGGGGGATATGATCTCCATGTAAATACATAAGGGGGGATATGATCTCCATGTATAATACATAAGGGGGGATATGATCTCCATGTATAATACATAAGGGGGGATATGATCTCCGTGTATAATACATAAGGGGGGATATGATCTCCGTGTATAATACATAAGGGGGGATATGGTCTCCATGTATAATACATAAGGGGGGGTATGATCATCCATGTATATAATACATAAGGGGGGGGGAGATGATCTCCATGTATAATACATAAGGGGGGATATGATCTCCATGTATAATACATAAGGGGGGGATATGATCACCATGTATAATACATAAGGGGGGGTATGATCATCATGTATAATACATAAGGGGGGTATGATCTCCATGTATAATACATAGGGGGGGTATGATCATCATGTATAATACATAAGGGGGGGTATGATCTCCATGTATAATACATAAGGGGGGGTATGATCTCCATGTATAACACATAAGGGGGGATATGATCTCCATGTATAATACATAAGGGGGGATATGATCTCCATGTATAATACATAAGGGGGGGGGGATATGATCCCATGTATAATACATAAGGGGGGGATATGATCTCCATGTATAATACATAAGGGGGGATATGATCTCCATGTATAATACATAAGGGGGGGATATGATCTCCATGTATAATACATAAGGGGGGATATGATCTTCATGTATAAATACATAAGGGGGATATGATCTCCATGTATAATACATAAGGGGGGATATGATCTCCATGTATAATACATAAGGGGGATATGATCTCCATGTATAATACATAAGGGGGGATATGATCTCCATGTATAATACATAAGGGGGGATATGATCTCCATGTATAATACATAAGGGGGTATATGATCTCCATGTATAATACATAAGGGGGGATATGATCTCCATGTATAATACATGAAGGGGGGGGATATGATCTCCATGTATAATACATAAGGGGGGGATATGATCTCCATGTATAATACATAAGGGGATATGATGATCTCCATGTATAATACATAAGGGGGGATATGATCTCCATGTATAATACATAAGGGGGGATATGATCTCCATGTATAATACATAATGGGGGGGATATGATCTCCATGTATAATACATAAAGGGGGGATATGATCACCATGTATAATACATAAGGAGGGATATGATCTCCATGTATAATACATAAGGGGGGGACATGATCTCCATGTATAATACATAAGGGGGATATGATCTCCATGTATAATACATAAAGGGGGGGATATGATCTCCATGTATAATACATAAGGGGGATATTCACATCCATGTGATCTGATTCTGCACATCGCACCGCTTTTTGCTGACTGATTTCGGGGTGTTGTTAACATACACACCGCAGCGGTTCGCATGAACTGGGGTGCGATTGTGATGGCGTGCGGAATTCGTACAGAAAACGCTGCAAATTCCGCACCTCATCAGTGTGTGAACCCCGGGTTCAATGTATAACCCTAGGTCAGTGATGGCGAACCCTTTGTGATTCCCGAGTGCCCAAACTGCAACCCAAAACCAACTTATTTCTTTCAAAGTGCCAACACTGCAATGAAACCTGAATATCGAGCTTTTGGTTTAGAAAAAACAACTCGTACAGTAGTGCAAACTAATTAACAGTACAGGGATGACCAGAGACTGCGGACACAGTACAGGGGATGATCAGAGACTGCGGACACAGTACAGGGGATGATCAGAGACTGCGGACATAGTACAGGGATGACCAGAGACTGACTGCGGACACAGTACAGTGATGACCAGAGACTGCGGACAGTACAGGGATGACCAGAGACTGCGGACACAGTACAGGAGATGACCAGAGACTGCGGACACAGTACAGGAGATGACCAGAGACTGCGGACACAGTACAGGAGATGACCAGAGACTGCGGACGCAGTACAGGAGATGACCAGAGACTGCGGACAGTACAGGAGATGACCAGAGACTGCGGACAGTACAGGAGATGACCAGAGACTGCGGACACAGTACAGGGATGACCAGAGACTGCGGAAAGTACAGGAGATGACCAGAGACTGCGGACAGTTACAGGGATGACCAGAGACTGCGGACATAGTACAGGGATGACCAGTGACTGCGGACAGTACATGGGGGATGACCAGAGACTGCGGACACAGTACAGGGGATGACCAGAGACTGCGGACACAGTACAGGGATGACCAGAGACTGCGGACACAGTACAGTGATGACCAGAGACTGCGGACAGTACAGGAGATGACCAGAGACTGCGGACACAGTACAGGAGATGACCAGAGACTGCGCGGACACAGTACAGGAGATGACCAGAGACTGCAGACACAGTACAGGAGATGACCAGAGACTGCGAACAGTCAGGAGATGACCAGAGACTGCAGACAGTACAGGAGATGACCAGAGACTGCGGACAGTACAGTGGGATGACCAGAGACTGCGGACACAGTACAGGGATGACCAGAGACTGCGGACACAGTACAGGAGATGACCAGAGACTGCGGACCCCAGTACAGGAGATGACCAGAGACTGCAGACACAGTACAGGGATGACCAGTGACTGCGGACAGTACAGGGATGACCAGAGACTGCGGAAAGTACAGGAGATGACCAGAGACTGCGGACAGTACAGGGATGACCAGAGACTGCGGACACAGTACAGGAGATGACCAGAGACTGCGGACACAGTACAGGAGATGACCAGAGACTGCGGACACAGTACAAAGTACAGGAGATGACCAGAGACTGCGGACATAGTACAGGAGATGACCAGAGACTGCGGACACAGTACAGGAGATGACCAGAGACTGCGGACATAGTACAGGAGATGACCAGAGACTGCGGACATAGTACAGGAGATGACCAGAGACTGCGGACATACTACAGGGGATGACCAGAGACTGC